CATGACTTGTAATTTTCTGCTCACCGTGTTTCGAAATCGACGTTTCAGGGCCCTCTTCACGACAAAACTGCACACCAGTGAGGAGACTGATATTCTCCTGCACGAAGTCAGCTCAGACATGATGACCCAGATACTGGATTATGTTTATTCTCGCGAGGTGGACATTCGCTCCGACAACGCGCGTCAACTGCTCGTGACGGCTGAGTACTTGTGTATACCGGACGTTACTGAACTCTGCTGGGACTTCCTCATGGACTCGATGGACGTCGACAACTGTGTCGGCATAATGCAGTTCGCAAGGTAATTGATGTTCATTTGAAATTTGCTGTGACGCCAGCCTTCGTCGCTGGAGCGAATTAGCTTTACTCAAGAGATGAGGCGAATGCCGGGTCGGAGATTAAACCTCTGACTGAGGACTGTGCAAATTATAAAGCCTCGTAGGTCAGGGCTGTTTGGTGGAATAATTGTAACGTCCCTGTAATTTAAGTTTTCTGATTTAACTGCATATGTTTTGTTCGTCATTATGACCAGAAGATGACTAATTTCACCATATGGAACGTTAATGGCGATCTATTGCAGTCATAATTAAATCTGTCTTCCTCTCGAATTCCTTTTCTTCGTTTTCTTTCTTTCTTTTTTCACCTACGGAATTCCTTGCTTCTTACATAATCCTCCCAACACCAAAATCAACATTCAGCCCCATATCTTTCTGCATACAGCAAAACCTCTGTCAACCGAGACTCGATTATCCGATTCCCACATTAAGCGACCGAATTTCAACCAGATCGGTTGTGATTGGATTCCACCGACGAAAGTGCATAAAGTGATGTCCACGCGGTACAGTTCATTGATCTAACCTCACTCCAGATTTGGTGATTATTATGAACACTTCAGAACATTTAGAGAATTGGTTATTATCGAGCAAAGTCAAAGACGCTGGGTCCCGTGGACGCTGAACTCTTACTCCTTCTTGTTCAGGACAACATAGGAATCAAATCAACTGACATAGGCAGAATCACACCAGAACCTCCACTTCATGCGATGGACAGAATTACTAATATAAATTCACTCTTTCAGTACAGGGACTCCCTCGAAAAGCGCTCACGAGTGACTTTTCCCGTCGGATTTTGCATGCCACTCGCCCGCATCATCCGCCGACGAGAAAAATCTGTATTGAGTCTCTACTATTGTACATATCCATGACCACTTTCACCCGCTCATTGGTCGTGGTTCCCCCATTTAGTCCGGTTACACGAGGTTTCACTGGATTAACACACACAGTTACCAAAACGTCGTTTCGCCAAGGTTAAGGCCAGAATTCAAAATTCTAAACTTGTCATCTCACAGACTTCTTCACTTGCGTACGCCATGCCCTTGTTTCAATCTATAATCTTATCACGAGGACGAGCAGGCATTGCCTGGAAACCTTCAGAGCCGAAAACTGTCTATTTTGCACCGGTTAAATGGAGCACCCATCATCGTTGCCTCTCCACGTGTCTGCTCTCAGTCTCGCTATTTCGGGCTTCAAATGGCTAAGATAAAAACTGCAGGCGAAATACTGTGGTGTGGAAATGCTTGAGAATCCAGTTCTTGCTTCAGTATTTCAATGTGTCAAATCCGAAGGAGAACGATTCTGAGTCGGCTCTTAACCTCGCTGTCGCAGGTCTAACTCCTGCGCCGACCTTGATACTCACGTTCGTCGCTTCGTTCTGCGCCAATTCGTGGATGTGTCTCAGCAGAGCGATGAACTGCTGGAACTGCCTGTAGAGGAGCTGCAGGCGATAATCGAGTCCGAGGAACTGAACGTGAAGGACGAGGGAGTTGTGTGGGAGTGCATTCTCCGGTGGATCTACCACGAGTCGGACAACAGAAAAGGCCACATCGCGGACCTTTTGAAGGGCGTCAGACTGGGATTACTTGACGAAACATTTTTCAAAGAGAAGGTCAGTATGCCCCTGAAATCGTGGATGTTTATCGGAAGTGAAGTCCGCATTTTAAATTCCATATTCACACGTGTTCGTAACCAATTTATGCAAATCGTGAGCTTTTTTCTTCGTCACGTGTAAGCCCGTCTGTCTGTCCGCAGTTCCAGCTCGAGAACGTCTAAACGGATATTCATTAGATTCAATACTGATGAGCTTTAACAGAATCTGTTGACACATTCAGATTCTGGTTAAAATCTTTCAATAACAACGTGAAAACTACTGTCCGCAGACCAGGAGAAAATCCCTGCTTTGGGAAGTCGTTCTGGTCGGTTTCGGGGGGAATGTTTACTGCCTGGTGGACTAGAGGGCTGCTATTGGTGGGAAGTGCGATACGTCAGAGTTTAACACTACTACACACAGACTGAAAACATCAAGCAATTAAGAGTAGCGAGTAGTGAGTGCACCTCTAATGTGTTCTGATAATATTCTGGATTAAATCGCTGTGCCGCTGTGAGGTAATCTTAAAGCTGTACCCATTAGAACACATGAAAGCCTGTCGTCTGTTGTTCGTTCAGTGGTTGTGGAACGAATGCTATTAGGATGGGACGTCACTCACCGCGAAATCTTGCGCATGCGCGTATATCGCATTGCTTGCAGGGCTTTTCTCGTGGTCTGCGGACTGTGCACAATGATTTGAATGTCTTATTCCGCGCAAAATTTGCTGCGTAACGTAAGAAATTCTCAGATTGCCTGGGTTACCATGGTTACAATAACAACCTGTTTAATGACGCTGGTAACACGCTTGTATACGCGTGTGTATGTGCAGAAATGTTGTTCGAGTTAATAATCGTCTTTTATTCATGGTCTGTGCTACAATCTTTGATTGAAGTCTCAGCGTTTATTAACAACCATTACGTGTCTCAGTTCAACTACGGCATTCCACCGTTAACTGCCTTCAGACGTCCACTCAGCTTGAATAGGAAAATCCTCCAACAGATAAATCACGTCTTCTTGGGCAGCGTTCAATCTAACCAAAGTTCCTACGGCCATAAGAAGGGTATCTTAGCTGCTATAACAATTTAACGCATCTCAGACTATGAACACTAAGCATGATAATCTGTAGCTGATTGACCATATAGGTACAACAGATATCCGAAAAGTTCAGGAAGAAGCCTTCGTTCTACATCCAAGAGTGGTAGTAGCCATATTCTTTCTTCCATTCCACCATACGCTTTAACCCGAGAGGAAAAAAGTTTCTACCTAAGTCAAATGCCCTGTGATTTCAGCCACTCACCCCTTACTAATACGTGTGAAACAATCCCACGGATTCATGAAAATGTTATCTGCGTCAAATGTCTTTACAAATAATCATTCGTATATTGTAGTTTCGATAACTTAAGGAGAACCACCTGATGACCAAATAAGGTAGAAACATGCAATGCCTCATAATAGACATCGAGCACAATCACACGGTGTTGTGTTGACGGGCCTTCCACCCAACCATCAACATGTAGCAGGTTGCCTCAATGACACTCGAAGCAACTAATTGTCATAATTTTCTTTCGATGTTACGTAATTTTGGCGATTAATTAAGGTTGTTGAATCAAAAAAATGTGATGGTCGCACAGTGCATCTCGCACGGAAGAGACGAGAATTAAATTTCAATTTTTTAATGTAACTCAAAACGCAACCCTTACTGAAGTATTTAAATTTCGGTTGACACACATTTCAATAGATTTTTCTAAGATCGAATTAACCTTGTTTTCGTTTCTCTCCACAACCTGTAAAAGAGCGTCGTTAAATAAACCAAAAAAACATTTTTTCCTGTATATACAATTATATTTCGGTGAGTTCCCAACCAAATTAAGTGTGAATTTCTTGTGTCCTCTGCAATGGAACATGGCATCACTTCCTAAAAGTTCATAAGGTCCACATTGAACTGTTCAACAGGTGTCAAATAATCCGTACGTGAAGGAAAATGAGGAGTGCAAACCCGTGATCTCGGAGACGCTCACATTCCTGGACGACGTGAAAAGGTTGTCGAAGGACGACAAGGAATTCGTTCCACCAAGGATTGCCCGCCCGCGAAACCGACGGGACATTCTGTTTGCTATTGGTGGGTATCGCGACGGAACAATGACAGATGTGATTGAAGCGTACGACGCACGAGCAGACCGTTGGACTGTGGTGAGTTGCGTAAAATTTCTACTATTACCGTGGGTTGTTAAATGACGCCTACGAGAAAAAGTACTTTTCCTCTTTCTTGCTAAACTTAATTACAAGGACCCCTTAGCCTCTTTATTTCGAATTCGTTTATTTCCATTGCAGTGAACCCTTTTTAAGATAACCTAAAAAGTCATGAATTAAAGAGATCTACTATAAAAATTTGTGATTAG